GTTCGTAGAACAAAGACACACGTTCAGACGCCCCACAATAGTATTATTTCTTGGCCGTAAGGCGGCATTCGACTCAGTTGCTCGTGAGGTTCTGTGGCAGTGCCTGTCATCAAAATGTGTACCGAAGAAGTGCATTAACCTTATACGCGCTCTCTACTCGAACACCACTGGTCGGGTGAGAGCCTATGGCGAACTCTCATCGCAGTTCTTTACTTCAAGTGGTGTCCGTCAGGGCTGTCCAGCCTCTCCTCTGTTTAACTTTGTCGTAGACACGCTTTTATAGTTAACTTCATCTGACTTCTGAGTGGAGGAGTGGACCTTTTACCAGGAGACATGCTTTCTGACTTAGAGTTTGCTGATGGCATGTTCATGGTGCGATTTTCCCCCTTGAAATGCAAAATGTTGCTTCACGATTAGCTCGCGACGGCACCTGAACTAGTGATAGGGAGTGAAGTAGTTGAGCGTGTCCACCGCTCCACTTATCTTGGGAGTCTCATGACTGCTGATGGCCTGGTGTGTGACGAAATCTCAGCACGGATACAGAAGGCTCGATTGGCTTTTGCCAACTTGCGCCACTTATGGCATAGGCGAGATATCCGTCTGCTGACCAAAGGACGAGTCTACTGCAATTCAATCTGTCCTACTTTATGGGTGCGAAACATGGCCAGTGGAAGTAAAGGATATTCGTAGGCTATTAGTATTCGATTACAGATGTCTTCAAAGCATTGTTCGTATATCCTAGGATAACCGAGTAAGCAATGCTTTATTCAGGAATCGAGTACTAGGTAAGAATGGCAGATCAATAGATGAAGTATTGAAACTTCATCAGTTGGGGTGGTCGGTGCATGTGTTACGAATGCTCAACCACCGACTGCCTCGACGAGCGATGTTTGGTGGTGTGAGAGTAGGTTAGAAGAAAGCTAGGGGCGGTCAAACTAAAACATGGCAGGAATCCATGAAGTCACTGACAAGTGGACTGAGTCATGTTGGTGGGTGTCGACTACCTGGTTAGGGTCTGCGAGACGGAAGGAACCGATGGTTAGAGATCTTGAACGACATGGCTCAAAATCATTCGCGATGGCGCATGTGCATCCACTCTTTGTGTTCTCTCAAATTCTAGCCTTCTGAATTCCTCATCATCTTAATCTTTCTAAATTTATTTCACTGAATTATACTTCTCGAATCATATCTTCGATCCCTAATCTTCTCCATTACTGCTAATACTTCTACTATCTCTACCAGTATGCGATTGCGTCTCTGTGCTAATGTGGTATGGTAACTTGAACTGATGTAGGATCGTACAAAATTCTACGTTGTAACTGACTGACTGATGACATTCCGTTTTATTCATCCAAAAATTCACTAGTAGTCTTTTTCTGTTATAATTTCCTCGAATCATTCGCGTGTGATCTCTTTCTTTACATTTACGCTAACCTATCTGAAATACTTCGATGAAATAAATATCAATGTGGTGAATATTTTTAGTTCTCTGGATAGCTTGTGGTCGTCAATCCATATAATGTTAACTTATCGTGTGTAAAATGGTCGTCGTATGCACTGATTACTTTTCATAAATTTTAGCAGCTTAGATCATTTGTACACGGAAGTTGCGCATGTAGATAGAAAGCTTGATTACCGTTTGGTTTGACTTCTGTTCTACTGACAATAAACCCACTAAATCTATTATATAATTTGACACGATTGATAAGTTCCTAAGATTTTCATACTATCAAGCAGTCAGTTAAATAAACAAAAGATCAGGTGAGTAATCACATGTACTTTTATGATTCTGATGCATACTTGAAGTGATTTGATAAGTAGAATACAATACAACTTATAGTAGATCTTGATAGATAAATAACTTGAAGCATTATATTACAAAATAGAATAACCCCCTTGGTAGTTGATTGATTTGTAACAAGTATGATCATCATAGATAAATCAAAAAAATTGTTTCTTTTTATGATCATGAGAATTCTACAAACACTTTAGGAGACTTAAAAACTGACTCATTGAATAATAATAATAATAATAATAATGATACATAACCAAGTTACATTTTTTTTCATCTCTGAAAATAATAATTAACTCAAGGCAATAAGCTAACTAACTGGTTGTGAATGCTACAACTCCAATACAGTTAACTAATTTATGTTATTGATTCTCTGTGTGAGTTGATCGAATATCGCCGCTGTATGACAACACAAGTCAGTTTTCGCGACTGAAGAATATATCCGGTATACTAAACCATTGCCTATTTCTTCATCTCTTTTTAATTGAAGTTGATAGTTGAACTGTCTTACTTTATGGCTGTGAAACATGGCCAGTGAGAGTAGAAGATATTCGTAGGTTACTGGTTTTCGATCATAGGTGTATCCGAAGCATTGCTCGTATATCCTGGGACATCCGAGTGAGCAACGCTGTTATTAGGAAACGGGTGCTAGGTAAGAATGGCAGATCAATAGATGAGGTAATGAAACTTCATCAGTTGAGGTGGTTGGGACATGTGCTGCGTATGCCTAACCACCGACTGCCTCGTCGAGCTTTGTTTTGTAGTGTAGGAAGAGGTTGGAAGAAAGCTAGAGACGGCCAAACCAAAACATGGCAGAAATCCATGAAGTCATTGACGAGTGGACTTAGCCATGTCGGTAATTGTCGAGTACCTGTTTGGGGTCCACGAGATGATAATAATCGATGGTTAGATACCCTGAATGACATGGCTCGGAACCGTTTGCAAGGTGCAGGTGCATTTATTCTTTGTGTTCTCTCAAATCCTAATCTTCTGGATTCTTCAACCCCTCTAGTTTTGACTTTCTAACCTTTTCTCACTGAATCATACTTATTGAATAATATTTTCTAATCCTAGCCTCTCTGATTACTTCTAATACCTTTACTACCTCTTCTACTGTGGGATTTGAATGGAAAATTATATCTCTGTGCTGATGTGATATGGCAACAAGAACTGATGTACTTACGTACGAAGTTCTACGTTGCATCTGACTGACTGACTGATAGTTGAACTGCAATTAGGAAAGCGGTCAAACTCATGAACTATTGATGTGTATTATATAACAACTATCAGAGCAGTATGTTTGACGTGTTACAAAAAGTAGTGATTGTACGTCCGAGCTTAGAATAATAAATCGCATTATCATTGATTGGCTGAAGTCTTCATTTTAATATAATTTCACTTGTTCTCTCAACCTCCACGCATATTGTTTTCGTGATTCAATGTTTTTTTATCTGTTTTGGTTGTTTGTCATATCTGTCATTGTCACATGTGTCAGTTTAAACGCATCAACTTTTGTGTAAATTCACGTATTTTTTAGATATTTTTGTTTGCCATTAAGGAGTCATTTACTGGTTGTTGTCATCTTTAATATTGTTAAAATTTATGAAGTTTTCAATGTATTGTATGTGTCGATTTAGTTACAATTTGTTTTAGCGTTCGCTTGCTTAGTTAGTTTCAAGATTCTTATATCGTCTTCTCTTAAAATTTACTCACCACCCAAACAGTTATCTTGTATTTACAGTTCTGCTGTTATCTGATTATAGTTAGAAGTTTATAGCTTTGGTAAATTTTCACCTGGTATACTTTTGACAATATCACTGTTATTTTGGAGTGGATATTGTATAATTGCTTCTAGTATTTTCCATTTCCGTATGAAGCTTATGTGATCTGATTCTTCGAAGGTACTTCAATAATGGTCCATGTGTAGTATTTTTAACTCTGTATTCGTAGATTGATCAAATAATAAACGAGTTCCGTATCTTCTGAAATTGTTAAGTTTTAGTGTGAACTTAATTAATTATTAGGATGAATCCATCTAGTCTTAAAATAACGCAACAAATAATCCAAGAAGCAATTATTTACAAGGCCACAATAAAACAAAGTATTCACTAAACAGAGGATTGTGTTAGTTAGTTAATATTTACTAGAAATTCTATCAAATTCCTCAAATATCAGCATGCAAGATATTTAAGAAATAAATAGAGCTCCAGTTCAACTGATGTAACCGTAAATTAAGATCTTAATTGTCTATCGGTTAATGTTTAATTAAAGTAGTTCGAACTTCAGTATTATTTATTCTTCTCACTAATTACTGTTGTATGTTTTATTCACATACTTGGAACATCTCCTATCAAACAAGCAAATTTTCCATCATACGAATAGTATACAGAAATTTTGATGTGTAATTTAGTCAGAATATTAACTAAGATATATGGTTTAATGATACTGTCATACAATAAACTATGTATTCACAACGTTTATTCTAATTGAGTAAATTTGATATTCTTATTGAATGAGCAATCATTGGTGTTAATTTGTAAAACTGACAGTAAATTTATTGGGGCACAGTTTTGGAGGTTTGCGTTTTTACACATTTGAAATCATTAATCAATCATCATTGTTAGACCACCATTAGAAACCTGGAAGCACTGGACGGCCGTTTCGTCCTAGTATGGGACTCCTCAGCAGTGATGCCCAGTGGTCCGATGGTAAGGCGTTCGCCTACAATGCCAAAGGTCCCGGGTTCGAATCCTGCGAGGAGCAGGGGCCGTGGATGCGCACTGCTGAGGAGTCCCATACTAGGACGAAACGGCCGTCCAGTGCTTCCAGGTTTCTAATGGTGGTCTAAAAATGATGATTGATTAATGATTTCAAATTAGTAAATTTATGCTTCTCGGCAAAACCTGATTGACAATAATGTTACAATGTGTTCATTTTCATGCTTACTTACTTGTAAGATAAGATGCTATATATATTGCATCTAGTGCTTGAAAATTAGTGATACCCATCAATAAGATCAAAATAAATTAGTATATATATAGTGTGGCTCTGGCTTAAAGCTACAATCCCCAATTATTCCAGTATCCACTAGACCTACTATACCTAAAAATCTATACAATAAAAGTTTATTTATTTATTTTTAACATACACTACTAGTCCTGATATTATTATGTGTCTTTGTTTTTATTGGTTTAACTTTTTATCTCAGCTCAAAAGCAGACACAAGCACAAGTTTCATCAAATGATCAATCATTTGATTCGATAACCGCAAATTTCAGTCTAAATGAAGTAAGCAATCCAGTAGTAGAAGAGCCGACTAATATCACTAAAACAAATCAACAGACGAATCTTGTGCAAGAAGAACAAACTGTTGAATCTAAAGAAACTTGTCCTAGTCGATTGGGAAAGAAGGCTCTTAATTGGACAGATTGTGGTAAAACTATTCGGAAGCGTTATAAAGAACAAGAGGAACGGGAAAAACTATTCACTATGCAGAATACTTCAACACATCCTAGTATATCAAAAGATTTCTCGCGAAACACAGAAACCACAGTTAGTATTTCGGATTATGATGCTGATCATGAAGATAATACTAGTAGTGTTGATAACTTATCGCATATTAATCCTCAAAATCCTAGTGTTCAAGTTTCTGATTCTTCTCATTCGACAGAGCACTTGAAATCTCCCGTTACAGAATCACTAACCAACGATAAGAATTCTACAGAACTTGACATCCCATCTGAATATCCACCACTTTCATCAACTAATAAGTCCACAGAGAAACTCCCATACCATGGAGTTTTTGTTGGAGATGGATGGCCTGATGTTGGTAGAAAAGTGGTTTCAGAGCCGAAAATCAATTCCACTGATTCGTGTATCTTGAAAAATAATCATAAATCAGACAAATCTCAGCTTTCTTCAGATTTGGCATCTTTCAGTGTTCAAAAGTCTGAAAATGAAAAAAGTGTGCATAACGAAAATTGCCCTGAATGGATTTCTGTTTTAGCCAAATTAAATCAACCAGAATTTGAAAGTGAAATGAGTCAGTTTCTTGATGTACGTTCAACTACGGTAAAAAATGAAAATATGACACGTAGTAGTTTTGTTTTGAAAAACAACAGCGAACCTGTTACAATTCAGTCAAATGAATTACCTTACCATGGACTTTTTGTTGGTGAAGGATGGCCTAGTGTTAAACCTGAAAAGAAAAATAATATGGTAATACATAGTTCTGGCGAATCTGAAACTGTGAATAGTGAATTGAAAAAAATACACCAAAATGAGGAGAATAAACCAATTAATAATCAGATAACAGAAAGTATGAACAAATGTGACTGGACTACAGTCATCTCTCAAATTCCTGAGGGTCTTATAGATTCAGAACAAAATCAGCTTAATCAGGTTGATGTAACTGACTTAAATGCTTTCAATACTAATACTCCAAAACAAGTTTCAACTACTCCAGTGACTTCAGTTTCTCAGAATTTTCAACCCGATCCACTCGCTACATCATTGTCACCAAATGATCAAGAAAAATCTACAACTGTTGATACATTTGAAAAACACAGTAATTTGGAATCTGTGACACCACCCAATCAATCCCAAAAAACGGAAGATCAACATAATGCTCACTTGTCAGTGGAATCTGTTTCTGAGACGACAATTCTAAACAATAATACCACACAAAATGATTTGAAGGAAGAACCGGAGTTATTTGTCAGCAATTCGCCCACAATCCTAACCCATATGAAATCAGATACAACAGAAACAGAATCAGAATTAAAAACTATCAAAATGGATTCAGATGTACATGACGATGCTGGCAAATCGCATCATTCTAACATAACTGAAACTAATCATAATAAACCGACCGGAGAATCTCAATCATTAGCAAATTTAGTAATAAACTCTGAAGTCCTTCACGATAAGATTGAATCTTCCACTATTAGTAATAATAACCTTATTAAACAAACCGAAGCCACTTCATCTAAAAACAACAACAAACCGAAAAAACATAAAAACAAACATAAGAAAAAGAAGAAAACTGCTTAGACTCACTCATCACTCACTCACACACACACATTATTTTATTCTATAATCTTTAAGTTCATTTTCACTTAACTATGTGATCTTACTTTAACTTTTATTTTTTCTTGCCTTTTCTTATTGCTTAAAATAATAACAGTGATGTAATGATTTACAAACGACATAATAAGCAAATAAGTAGGTAGTAACATACTACTTAATTGCTATATGCCTTTATTTATCACAAAACTGTATAAAGTGAATAGAAAATTCAGTTTCTAGTGTTTTCTTATTTTTTTTTTGACATCGACTGATCATCTTGATAAATATGGCCAAAAATCGATTGAAAGTCCTACAGATTCCCGAACACTGAAGTAGGACGAACAGGGTTCGAACCCACAACTTCCTGACTAGGAACGAAAGATCTCAGTAACTACGCTACCGCTCCATTATATATATATATATATATATATATATATTGCAACGTTGACATGTTTTGTTTGAAACAGTTCATAGAAATATTTTAAGACTGTGATAGTTGCACTTTACTTGTCTAAGCACTATAGTAATTCGAACCTTGAAATTATTGAGACAGAAAACTATGAAAACTACTTCTGAAAGATTCAGTCAACAAAATATGGGACGATTTTTTTTATGTAGTTAACCAGAATTCAACAAGATGAGCTTTCCCTGTTCTCCATCTTACCAAAACATTGAAGCTATTTCTGAAACAAACATATATATAGAGAAGCTCATGAATTTATACATACGAACTTTCAGAAAGATTACAGTAGTTGGAATAACCCAATATGTGGCAACATTTGATTCTTAGTGATCAGACTGGTAGAATGTCGTTGCTACTATCAAAGAATTTAGCAGTTGAAATAAGTGTACCGGTTAAGCAATATCAAGGCCGAGTAGAGATGATTCTATGTTGCCTAACAGTTACACAACACAGTCACAAACTTGTCCAATAACTAAAATGTGATGTAGGTTAAGATGGGTTAATTCGATTATGAATTGTCTAGCCAGCAGCACAACATTTAGGGACTATCTGACTAGTGGAAATATAGCCCTTTAAGACTCTGTATCATTTATATTTGTTATATCGTTTCATGCTAGATAGAACTAGTAAGTTGTAGCAAAAGTATAAAATGTAAATCCTTTGTTGAAACACATTTAAGGAACATGTGGTTTATTGGTTTTTTGTATCATCTACATATTCAAAAAGAGAATCCAAAAATTTGAATACAATTCAGTGAACTACCACAGGAGTTAATCAATAATTTGCCTACTTGGATATACTTGAGTTCAACTTAACATTCGTTGCCGTTTTCAAGTTTAGGAGTTTTAAACCGTTTGATTGTTTAAGAGGAAACTAATGCTTTAATCTTATATTGTTTATCGAACTATCAAGAATTAGATGCTATTAAATCATTTGGTGGATAAATTTTTAGGTCTGTTCATAAAACGAAGCTGCACTCCATCTTTACGTGCTTTAAATGTACGTGGCTAGTTGGATACATATAAAATCAACAGACATTTCATAGGACAAAAACATCTTCGGTTTGGCTTTCTCCATTCTTATTAAACTTGATCACAGACACGCTTTTAGGGACGACACTTTCACAATTTGACTTCTCAAGAACTAGGCTTCTATCAGGAGATTCGATTGTTCGTTTAAAATATGAACATTCGGGATGCGATTCTCCTACTCCAGATGCAAAATGTCGCTTGCATCAGTACGCAAATTAGTGGTGGGAGGTGAAGCAGTTGAGCGTACCGGCAGCTTCATTTATCTTGAGTCTCGCCAGTCCTGATGGCTTGGTGTCTGACGAAATCTCGGCACCGACAGAAAAGGCTCGACTGCCTTTTGCTAACTTGCATCACTTGTGGCGTAGGTGAGATAACAGCCTGCTTACTAAAGGATGAGTTTACTGAGCAGTGTTCCTATGCATCCTGCTTTGTAGCTGTTAAGCATGACCACTTAGTTTAGAGGATAATCGTTTGCTACTCCTATTTTATAATAGATGTTTTCGAAGCATGGGTCTCTTATACTGGTACAATCGATTATGTGTTGCTGGTGTTAGAAAAAGGCTACTAGATAAGAATGGCAAATCAAATAATGAAGTAGTGAACATTCGTTAGCTAAGGTAGTTCGCATGTGTTACGTATGCCCGACTACTGATTGCCTTGATGAGCGATGTCGTCTGGTGTAGGCTTCGGTTAGAAGAAAGCTAGGAGCGGCCACACTAAAACATGACAGGAAGTCATTGACAAGTCAACTGAGCCGCACCAGTTGGTGTCTAAGAGGCAATCTTAACGGGTGGTTAGAGACTGAATGATATGCCTGTTGCTAGCAATGGCACATGTTCATTCTTTCTTTGCCTTCCCTCAAATCTTTCGATGACATTTCACTGGGTTATACTTCTCGTATCATATCTTCGAATCCTAATCGTCCGCATTACCACAAATACTGTTAGATCAACTATTATAAGAACTGAACTGATAATTTTATATCTCTGTGTCAATATCGTATAGAGGCTGGGACTGATATGCGTACGTACGAAGTCCAACGCTACCGCTGACAGCCATCGGATTTCTTTATGTTCTCCAAGTACTACTATTACTACGCGACCACGCCACACAAGATCACATTCGACAAAGTAAAGAATGATGTCTACTGTCGGCTGACGTCCGGGGTATCTATCTGTAGATGTGCAAGCCCTAAGTGAGGATTACTTCTAGGCATAAGTGCGTCTCAAAGTTTGACAAAAAAAGACGTCGAGTAGATGGTCCGCACTCAATCGCTCAAAACCATGCCCCCACTGACGAAATTGAATGTACTCGCCCGTGTTCAAGCACAGAGTTGTCTAGGTACACAGAATTCCAAATATGAATGAATTACATACATAAAATTTTTACGGGACAAAATAATGTTAGGAAGCCTTAACTACCGATGCCAAATTTAATAGCGTTCGCAAACACTATAACACCCCAGAAAAACCAGTTAACTTATTTATTTAAATACATTTTATTTACTAAAATACAAAAATACAAGTATACAAAATTATTTATTAAAATTCACTCCATAGCGTCGGAGTTTTCTACTGAGAATGGTGTTTCGACAGGGATATGTCCACAATTTGCTATCCTGATACTTTTGACAGGCCTATCCCTTGAGTCTGTCTTGGTACTTTCAATTTGGCGAACGATTGCCTGTAAAGTAAAAACATAACTATGACGAACGAACCATTCCTTTCAGCACTTTTCCGAACACAACATGTTTTCCATCTAACCATTCGGTCTTTACGGTTGTAATAAAGAATTGGCTTCCATTTGAATCAGGACCTTGAACAGTAATTCAAAATGAATAAACTTACCAGCATTAGCCATCGATAACCACCCTGCACCTATATGTCGCAGTTTGAAGTTTTCGTCGGGGAACCTATCACCATAAATACTAAAACCTACGACAATTATTGAGTTGCAAGGTTACCTCCAGTGCCATCATGGTTGGTAAAGTCCCCACCTTGTATCATAAAAGACTTAATGACACGGTGAAAACTGCTTCCTTTATACGATGCAGTACGACCATCTTTCTAAATCACTCTATGTAACCTCGTCAAACACATGCCTACCAGCTGAGTGCCGATTGAAAGTTGCTTGAAATTTTCCACTGTTTTCGGCACTGTTTTACCAAACAATCCAATAATTATTTGACCCAGTGGCTTTCCATCAACTTCTATGTCGAAAAACACCTGAAAGTGGTGAGATTCCGTATTGTACAGTCTTACCTTGTCAGTAACCTTCGGTCCTGTTGGTTCACTGCGGATAAGGATAAGACAGAATACGGCGACCAGGACAATCGCACAAAATAGCTTTAGAGTAACCATTAGCCTATACCTATGTTTAGTTGAATAACCTCGTAAGCCGAGGTACATAAATAGCGCCTTTCGACGTGTATCCACACAAACAATAACGTATTTCAAAATAAAATTGGTGTCTTCAAGATGAGAGTTCGAAGATTAGGTTAGTATTTCTTGAGAAAGATTCTATGGGCACCTAATTTTATTTTAATTTTTCAACTGAATGAGAGTAGACTATATCTATTTAATATCAAATATCGTTTTCACAAGCTAGTATAAACCAAATGGTTTCTTTGAGCCTGATTCCTGTTCTTTCAGTACGGTTCCAGCTGTTTAGTAGGTGGGGGTTTAGCCAATCGACTGCATAAGTCTTGTCATTTGGCAGTTGTCTGTCAGCTTGTATGTTCCGTGATTTCAATGAATACGTTTGTTTCAGGGCAGTAGGGTCTCTGTATACCAGCAGCTATCATGAATGAATATCAGGAAAAAAAGTGAACTTAAGATAGTCCACGATGAAACTCCCGATGTTGAGACTCTAACTCGCGAGCACTATTTACTTCGGTACCTACCTTTCTCTTATCAAGGTAGTTTCTGGGCCAAGATAGGAGTAGGTCAGTGAAGCCCACTTCCACAAACTTCGCGATTAGGCGTGCGTGATGTACTCTGCCGAAGGCTTTTTCAAATTATAGAAGTAATATGTGCACCAGTAATTTTCGGTCTCAATGGGCTGTCTAGCTCTCCCATTAAATGAGAAGATTCGAATCACTCGACCTGCCTTTCCAAAACCCCTGTTGAGCTTCATAGAGAATTTATTCTTATCCATGTACCTTCTCCTTTGTTCGTTCACCAGTCCTTTTATTACCTTCGATGGTTTTAGTAGTAGAGCGACTGGTCTGAAACAGCCTGGGTCCTTCATATCTCATCTCCTGAAGAGTGGAGGGGGGAGAAGCTTGTTTCCATTCATCTGGCAGTTGTTGTGACTCTAGTTATTGCCTGAACGTCTCCCATACCGGTGAGGTGAGGGCTTCTATACACTGTTTCAAGACTATGGGGCTAATATCGTCACATCGCAGTGACTATACTGTTAGCATGGAGATTAATTCTCTCATTACTATGCCTGAGCAATACTGTGAATGTGTAGCTACTCGGTTTATTTGATTGGTGAATTTTGTGCTGAAGATCTCAGCCATTCATAGGCTGGTAAGATCGTCACTATTTGGACCTTTGAGATTGTTTCGTTTATGAACATATTAAACAAGACTGCCGTGGTCACTACTTCCTATTGATGTTTACAACAACATGGATTTTCGTTGGTGTGTTGGTTCAGTTTATCGCCTGTCTCGTTGGTTTATTACAGGGTGAGTCCGGTCTACTTTTGGGGATTTGTAAGTCGATGTTCGATGGGACCTGTGGCTTTGCTCATGCCAGTTTTATTTTATGTCTTGGTGATTCTGCTCTATGGACAGATATACCATAACCAAGAACAGGGCTGTCTCAGCATGAACCTACAGTACTCCCTCGGTACTACAATGTGGCAGTGACAATGAACCCATGTACCAGTGAAGTTACGTTCAAATCAAAGTCACTTGCTGTGACTAGCATCTAGGGAACGAAACCGTTATCGTTGTGTGATTTCTGAACGACAAACTGTCTTTTTCCTTCATTCTTTGTTTGTCTACTGGTCTTCCTAGGAGTAAGAATATAAGGAGTATTGTCTCAGTTTCTGTGTTGGAGACCCAGTCTACGTGTTTGAGTCGAGTGATCCTAATTGTTAACATTGATCCAAGGTACACTATCGCTAGATGTTATGAGCTTTTTCACAACTCTGTCTCTCAATACTGGGATTTTCAACTCACTACTAAACTGGGAATCCGTAACTCTACTGGAATTCCTAGTTTTCATAGTGTAGGAAGCGGTAGCAACCTTATTACGTAACCAGACCCCAGATAGATTTAGAGATGAAAACGAGATAACTGAAACCAGAAAACACGCCAGATAGGAGTTTTGGAAGGAGAAAAATAACAATATCAAATATGAATACGAAGGAATGGAACCCGAAAATCACCCATGACTGCAAGTTTACACATGAATGTTCTAGTTAGCAACTTCGCATGGACCCAGTAACTTTCTCACAAGTCCTGAGTTTTCGAATGAATGAATGTGTGTATGCTGCCGGAACAACTAGGAAAAGAGCAGTTAGTCGAGGCAGCAGAGTAGTTCTGACTTGAAATGTTTCCGTTTGTCCGAATTAGTATTTAGATTGTCTACCCATGAATGGATACACGTTCTATATCTTCAGGGATGATTAACAATCTCAATCTGGTTTCTAAAACTGTATTGTTTCCTGCAAATGATTGGAGGTCAAGGAGGGTTGATCAATTTCCAAGAGCTCGCAAAAATCTATCTGCTGATGGAAATTTCCAAAATTAATAAATTCCTATGACAACAATTCCGTCCTCACTTGTTTTACTGGTAAAATCCGTGATTATCCGGAACTCTGTTTGCTTACGAATTTCTAATTGTTAATTCAGCTGAAAACAGTTGAGATAGTATATTTCACTTGTGCATGTACCAACGTGGTGGATTCTACTTACACGGTAGGTTACGATTAGTGTTCATAGGAATTTATCTTTGAAGTCATAAATCGAGGAATGTCAGACCCGGAAGTATGGCGCGATTAGAGTGTTCCGGACACTAGAAAACAGCTTTCTTGCTTCATCTGGTCTTAAAATCCTTGTCTATTGCACCATGAAATTGATGTAGACACACAGTCAAGGTAGTTACAGTTGCTTGGGCTTGGTAAATGCTTTCTCACGTGCATTTCATTTTAGCTGACGTTCTTTTGTTAGTGCGTATCTGTATATTCGTACACATTATTCCAATTTTTTTCTCTGAGCCGCGTTTGTTAGTCTTTTTGAGGCTCAATCACCCTAACTACCATTAGTTAAAATTACTGTTTGCGTTTGTTCTGATAAATCTGCAAACAAGTATGTTGAATTCAGCAGTAGTTTAACTACTTGTAATTTGGATGAAGCAATGCGAAATAGTATTGATAAACGACTTGCTCATAATCTGTGGTTATTGAAACCTACTTTCAGGAGTGTATTGGCAACAAAAGCTCTAGGTTATAGTCGGAGGCGGGGCTCGATCATACAGGATCTAAGAGCCAGCACGTGGAAATCACTAGGAGGGCAATGAAGCAAGTAGCATTGAACCACTCGATATTTGAATTTTTTCGAACAATGTCGGTGCCTTAACTTGAAGTGTTTGGTACTGTGCGTAGAAATAGGTCAATTTGTTTAGGGTTCATCCGGCTTTCAAATAAATTCCTCCATACATAATTACTCACATTTCTTTCGACTTGATCTATTATTTGCTGATAACCTTGTGTAGAATCTTTCTGAATGTTTTGTTTTTTGGAAAATCCCTCCATGTATATATATTTCTGTTATGATATGACTGACTATTTCTGTTGACATTTTGGTATTCTATTTGATTCCATTTTTGAGATTTTATCATGGATCTGGGCCAGCGAGTACCAACCTGCACCTATTGGAACTGGAGTGAACTGCTTGGGTAGAAAATTCATTTATACCTTGGTTGATTTTATATGAGTGTGCCCCGATTCAACCTAAGAATCGGTTGTTCTCGGTATTCAGTGTGTAATCGGTTTTGTTCTATCCACGGAGAATAAAATAATGCTCCTTAGTTAACAAGTATACTTATTTTCTCAGGATACAATAAGTTTGTATCTTTTATGAATTAGTATACCTGGCTCACTTTAGATCAGTTGTTTAATATTGTCAAACTGATATTCAGGACTTACACCCTATTTATACAATCCGTAAGGGTAATTTTGTTTATTTCATATTTATATTTTCTGTAATGAGTCGGTTAATCTAATTACTATGCATGGAGAAAAAGGTAATTAGCTAACAATTTGTAAAGAGTATACAGCACATTAGTTTGAAAGTAAAGCCACAGATTTAATTGATAGTAATATCACGCAACTTCCCTATCCTAATGTGGTTCCAAACAATTTTGATTCCATAGTACATTTTGCAAGGCATTAAAATCTCATACCAACTATATTGTACGCAAGGTAGAAAGCGTCACAGAATTTATCAAAATAATATATTATAATTGGGGAATTTCTAAAACATAGGTCCAAATTAATTGGCGTCAGTTATCAGTGGCTTCCGCTCACTATTCTCAGCTGTGGTTACTTTAAGTGTATCCATGATACCTCATAAATAAAAATAAATGCATGAATTGTGGATTCAGTTCAGGTTGCCATACCACATTAGCACAGAGACCCAAATGTCAGTTCAGATCCCATAGTGGTACTGATAGTGGAAGTATTAGCGTTAATGTAGAAGATTTGATATTATTCAAGAAGCATATCTCAGTGAGATAAATCTAGAAAGATAAAGATAATGAAGGATTCTGAAAATAAGAATTTGAGAGGACACAACGAGTGGATGCACCTGCGCCATTGCAAAAGATTTTCAGCCATCACGTTCAAAGTCTCTAACAATCAGTGACTTTCGACTAGCGGACCCCAAACACGTAGCCTACATCTACCAACATGACTGAGTCCTCTTGTCAATGACTTCATGGATTTCTGCCATGTTTTGGTCTGGCCACTCCTAGCTTTCTTCCAGCCTACTCCTACACCACAAAACATAGCTCGTCGCGCCAATTGGTGGTTAGGCATACGTAACACATGTCCTAACCACCTCAACTGGCGAAGTTTTATTACTTCATCTATTGATTTGCCATCCCTAACTAGACCTCGTTTTTTAACGACAGCACTGCTTATACGGTTGTCCCAGGAAACGCTAGCAATGCTTCAGATACACCGATGATCGAACACTAGTAACCTATGAATATCTTCTACTCTGATGGTCCACGTTTCGCATCCGCATAGTAGGACAGAGCGAACTGCTGTACAGTACACTTGTCCTTGGTTCAACAAGCGGATATCTCGCCATCGCCATAGGTGACGCAGGTCGGGAAAAGCCAATCGAGACTTCTATATCCGAGCTGAGATTTCGTCAGTCACCAGGCCATCGGCACTGATGAGACTCCCGCGATATGTGAAGCGGTCAACACGCTCAACTACTTCATCCCGCATCACTAGTTCAGGTGCCGATGCAACCCAGTCTTGAAGAAGCATTTTGCATTTCAAGGGAGAAAATCGCACCTCGGAAATGCTCGATTGGTGCTTGGGGTTGTCAAAAAACTCGAGTTTGTCATTGTCTTCACTGAACAAAAGCATGCTTTCAGCGTACTCTAAGTCAGCAAGCGAGTCTCCTGTTAAAAGGTCTACACTTGAAAGGTCATACGATGATAATGTTAACTCTAAAACCATATCTACGACAAAGTTAAACAAGAATGGATAGCCCTGACGGACACCACCCGAAGTAAAGAATTACGATCACAGTTCGTCATAAGCTCTCGCTCGACCAGTAATGTTCGAGTAGAATCTCAGTCGTAAGCCTATCAGGCCCTACTGCTTTTCATCGCTTCAGATCTCCTGTGGCTGTTTCAACTTCATAAATATTCAGAGGACTTATATCGATTTGCCATTCAGGATGGCTGGAGATCGTGGGTGACTATAGTGTGATGAAGGCCAGTTGAACTGATCCCTAAAGTGTTCTGCCTATCAATCCATTCTCCTGGGTTGAAAATGAATGATACAGCCATCCTTTTCTGAGATACATCCGCGAACAGATGGATTTCTAATACCGGTCTCCATAATGAGTCTGAATAGTTGTCGACTGTTGCCTATAGCCGCTGCCTTTTCTATCGCTTTTGCTTTCGCTATCCACCACTATTCGCGATCATTGCGTAGGCTTTTTATCAGCCTGCGCTTAAGCTGCCTTCACTCTTCATAATGTTCAGTGCCCGGTGGGATGAGTTCTCGAGCATCCATCAGTTCGGTAAATGCCACTGAGATCCACGGCTTCTTCCTAGCATTATGGTTTGCCTTACTAGAAGATGTCACTGCTGTTTCCACAGCCTTTTTGATATCATTCCAACCTGCTTCCGGATGGGAATCACTTGCATGGTCGCCTAACTCTCTTTCTAGTTGTTCCTGGAATATATTTTCAGCCTCATTATCATTAAGTAAAACCCTAAGAGGCTTCCTTACGGTGTCTTTCCTACGTCCAGTAAGCCTCAAACAAATACGCGCTCGCACTAGGGCATGATCTGAATCCAAACATGTGCCCCACAACGAGCGGCAGTCCTCTATCGAAACCCTCCATCGGTAGCTGATGGCGATGTGATCTAGTTGGGTCCAACGTTGAGACGAATTCAGGGGTCGCCATGTCAAGAGATGCTTTTCCTTATGCTTAAAAAGTTAGTGTTTGCTGAGAATAGGCGGTTATCTGAGCATAGTTCCAACATAAAGTCGCCACTATCTGTTCTCTGAGCAGCGACACCATGAGATCCATTCACGTGTCTTTCCTTTTCACTTAGTCTACCTACTTGGGCGTTAAAGTCACCGGCATCTCTTACTATTTCAGAGTGCCTAACGTTTTGGAGAACGTTCGAAAGCTTTCTGTAGAACTCGTCTTTCACCTCGTCTGAACTGCAGTCAGTGGGAGCGTAGGCAGATACGACGAAGAGGCAACGGCGAGTATCCCTATTTTTCAGAGGCCTTAATGCGCAGTCCAGTTGGACAGCGCACAAGCGACTATCTACTGGGATCCAGTCTGGGAGAGCTAGTTCAGCCCTACAACTCAATGATAAACCTACACCAGCGAGACCTCAGGAAGCAGCACCAAGGTTTCAAGATACACGAAGTGTGAATCGAGCTTCTTCTTTGCTACGAAGAGGAATTAAATTAATGATTTTACTAGGATCCTGTATGCGCGTTTCCGAGACGCAGCATACATCGATGGTGCGAGATTCTAAAGTCCTAGCTAAAGAAGGCTGTTTTCCTATTTGACACAATATCCGGACATTAAACGTTCCCGCATGTAATTTAGAACGGGATTACAGGAGACCAGGAATGACGTTTCGTGAACTCGCATCGTTTGTATTAGCTGTGTAGTGAGATAAGGGAATGTGAGAAGAGTTAGTCGTGAAGGTGGATGTTAGGGGATGTAGGAAGGTTTTGAATGTGACCAATTCAGGTTCGTATGCTGTTACACGTATGAGGGCGGATGTCATTTTCCGGCTGCCCATACCGTGGAAAGGTTTTTCTTGAGGAAGCTGAAAAAGAAGATAGATTAGTGTTGGTCTTAACGAGCCCAAGGGGCAACTGTTTGAGGCCGGTCACGCACGGCCTTTTTATGAAGAGTTTTAGAATTGTAAGCTCCGTTCTTGTCTAAAAGCCCCCACCGCTGGAGATGGAAATCCGTGAGGTGAGGTATGATATTGTTAGGGTCGACCTTTTCTTACCACTTAATTCCTTCTGAGAAGGCAGCATCGCTGCATATGCTGGCTGTCCGAGCGAAAAACCTTACTGCTGTCACACCTCTCTACAGTCAGCAGTACGACTTCGCCCTCAGACCTTGAGTTGCTGTCTTTAGTCTCATCGTTCTCTAATCGACCTGCCTAGCATGGTAGAACCTACAAGAACATATGTTCCAATCAATATAGTCCGGTTGAGTCATCACAATAGGCAAGCTCGACCACCGCGTCAAGGTAGCAGCTACAGTCGAGGACTTGTAGACTCGAGTATTTAGTTATCAGTAGTTCGATGCACACAGAAAAAGACCGATATCTCAAATTGCTTCATGATAAGCCGTTAGAAAATGATCTGTTCAACTTTACAAGGCCGAAAAGCACAGTAAGATTTGAGTCCAAGAATACCTTTGGAATGTTTTCGCTACCGAGCTTGTCACATATTTGAAAAGTCAACTGAGTAGGTTGTTGAGTGCTTCAGTTTCGTTACTTCAGTACAACTTGAACTATTACATCGCTGATTCACAAGCTAATTATTAGAAGGAAACAAAATTTGTTCCATACCATTCGTTCGATTCAATTAGCTAAAAAACCATAGTATCAAACGGCTTTAGGTCCTCTAAGCACATCTTGATCGATGTCACCGTTTAACCTTTTTTCACATGAGACAATCATACAAAAAATCAGTGAATACCAATAACTTAAGGTTGTTTTATTAACAACTATAGTTTTCAGGTAACGTAAAAGTAATCTGCTACATATGAAAAGATTTAGCGACTAAAATGTTTACAATTGGTTAACCTTACATACAGACCAGAACAAATTTGTCGTTTTTTCTCACTAGTTCCTACACATAGCTTATTAATATTTAAACTCTTGAAGTATTTAGTTTGTTCTAGATGCCTAATCTAAAAAAAACACACACAAAGTAAATTTACTAACGCATTAACCTATCAGGTAGGGGGTCGTAATTTCCTTCAATTATTAAAAGTAATAACATACTGAAAATAACACATAAAGAAGTACATTTATCTGATAAAGTACATAATGATTATAAGGCAAGCGATAGTTAGCATAAATATCTTGGATATAATAACTGTCATGTAAAATGATTTTTCAGGATAGTCATATGATAAGCATTACCAATATTTATTACTTCTTATTGTCCCCATTGTTCACTAACGTACTAGATGAACCACCGTACACTGCAGATAAACGTTTAATTTCATCAGAATCTATTTTTCGGAAAAGAGGAACTGGCTGAAAACGAAGAAAACAGAAACGAAGTTCTTTCAATAGGCATATTTTATTTTTAAAAAAAATTAAAGATTTAAAAGCGATAATCACTCGCATCGAAATAAAAACCTATTAGTATAGTGGTATGAAAAAAATGAATATTAGTTAATTGAATCCAATCAGCCACTGCATATATTTGTCATAAACATGATTGACAAAATCTCGGCTCTCGTCAAAACTGACACCAAATATGTAACTCTGACAAATGGTACTACGTTTGTTGAATCTGCTGAAGCTATCTTTATCTTCTACATCTGAAGTTTCACAACAGTTTATACCATTTCTTCTTTCATTTCAATTGTTTATTTCACTCTTTTCTCGTTCTGTTGAATGCTGCTGCTGCTATAGACTGTTTGTTTATCCTTCCAGACAAAGTGAAATTTTACGAGAAAGTACTGTTGATTTTATCCTACTTATGTCTCTGTTTACAACATTCAAAATATGAAGCATACAAACAGGACTAACCTTTCCAATACGATGACCATCAGGTAGTACTCTCTTAACTGTAAACTCATTTTTAATAATCTGCACAAAACTCAGTTGGGATTCCGGAAGATCACACTGTTCAATCCAAATCTGTTTTCCAATTGTAGGCATGTAAGGATAAATCATGGCACCAAGAATACAGGCAATATTTGCAGCAATGCTTATCACAACACCAGAACGCGACCTGAAAGTTTAGATGTGTAAAAGTTTGAAATTAATGCTAAGTATGCATCAAGAAAGCAAGTGTCAAAAGTTAAACAAAGCGTTCAAATAACTATATTAAACAATACAATCCCTGAGAAATTATAACAGTTCATGTAATCAACACTAATCACTTAATATACTTGTGATAAAAACTATCTCAGTCTAAAGATTTTCAGAATGAAATAAAAAGATCAAATACACCAATATTTTTAGTAAATATATTGGTAAAATTTCAAATCTCATCCAAAATTTATTGAGTTAGTGGGCACTGAAGTTAAGAATCGAGTCCTCACGTTACTAAGTGACATATCTTCTTGTAGTGTAATATCAATACCAATAGAATATAACGACATAAGGCTACGACAATACAAAAAAGCGTACCGACAACAAAGAAACCAGAACTCTTCTTAAGGTTGGCAGTTTGGTTATATGTGGAACAGATATCTGATGACTGTTGTTATTCGACGTAGGTTACTCACATTCGTCACCGAATTGAACAAAGTGCTATTGCCTTAACTAAATACTGATAGTTATTTAAAGGTTATTTTTATATCGCTAGCGTAAAACGCAATACAAATATACGGAAGCCATATTACACATACGCTTGTATTCATTGTAACGACTAAATATTCCATTTAACTAAAGGATTTGGTAATTGTTTGAGCACTCTCTTCCATAATTCTTTAGCAGTAATTCCAGGGAAACACTCCATTGAATACTACTTTTAAGCCACGCTGTATTATGCGCCAGAGTTGGGTGATTGCTTTTTAGACGAGATAGGGTGTCTGCCTGAGTAAAAACGTCAGTCCGACGGCACTTGGTGTCCAAGTCATAACCTAACCGTGTTACCGTCTACCTTCGCAGTCGATCCGCCGAATGTGTCGGTATTCCAAACTTTCAGCTGAAAACTGCTGGTCTGGCGATGTGGTCGGTCGAAAATGTGAAGTGCCTGGTGAAAACGGCATACAGCAAAAGCAATCACCAACTCTTCTTTTTCAATTTGACTATAGCGTTTCTCTGCTGGTGTTAGTAATCTGGATGCGTTTCCATCCCGTTTGAAAATTTGTGTGAAATCACTGCTTCCATATCATAGCCAATTATATGCAGGACATGAAGAAATATCCCAGACGAAATCAACCACACGTAGCTACGCAGATTGGCCGAAAATGCGTGTGCAAGTAGAAGATAGAGTGTGGTGGATGCTACTTGTAATATGGCATATAACTGGGATACAACGGAGTGTCACCTAGAAGTTGTTACAAGAGGATATCAGATCATAATCCATGATGTGATTTAAGCGAATGGAAGACCAGAACTGATGTGAGAGAAGACAGTCATAAGCCTGCTTGTATTGCAAACGGATGTTTAAAGATTGGATGTACATGTTTTGTAAATAAACTGTCTTCTCCAAACATATATCCTCCTTATGGTCTCGACTTCTTCGTCTGTTACAATAGTAAACAAATGTGGACAGTATCAATCTGCATCGAGAATTCCAGCACGAGTCGAACCAGGGAATTGACCAGAACCAGAACATCCGTGGTCCGATGACATCTGGATTCTTAGGTCCCGTGGGTTGAGTGTACTAATTGGTATCAGTAGACGCATGATGAAAGTGGCCTGAAAACCATCCAGTAGTACCTCCGATGACACGGAAAACGTTGGGAGCATTGGCGAACATATTCACCAGCCATGGACTCTCCAAGACTATCGTCAGCGATGATAGATCCCAATTTATATCCTATACATTCACTGATCTTTCCAATCGAAATGCCAACATCTACATTTGTTCTCCACGATCCCATCCACAATCTAACAGCCAAGCTGAACGAACAGCAAAAGTCGTCGACGGAATAACTAATTAGACAGAAGTTAAGGAGAGCAAATGATTCAATGAAACTAACTAAATGGAAGAAAAGCAGGTAGACATTTTACGCAAGACCGAGGTATCAATGTACATCTGTAATTGTAGGCCTGGTGAGGGGGGAAATATTGAGTCAAAGAGGAAGAGTCGTTTCTGAGGAAGCTGTAAAAGAAGAAAGGTGGATTTGCCACAAGAACCAGTTAGGTAGATGACCGATCAAAAGAAAATAGAACAACTCTGAACACCCTTCTTCATGATTTTAAAATTTAGAAATACAAAGGAGGATAGAAAACGGAACCAAAGAAGTATCACAAGAGCCTGTAGAAAAATTACTGCCACCAAAGTGAACAAAAACAGATGAAAACCGTTAAAGCAGTGAACAGACTTCAAAAAAAGTTGCCAAGATGATCACAAGAATAATCGAATTTCGATCAACAATGTTGAAATCCTTCCAGAAACGATAAATGCTCGTAGATTTCTTCAGATTCAAATCCCCTCATGCCCTTTGAGTTCTGATTGGCTGTTATTGTTGTTGTTCGATAAATTTTTGTATACTTGAAGTCATGTCTTGTTACTTAGTTACAAAAGTTGTGTCAATTTGTTTTGTACTGCTTGTCTGACTTCTAATATTAAGTTTCCTGCAATTTGTCTACTTATATAGTTGTCTCCAGATCTGTATATACGTTAGGTTCATACTGAGCCCCAATCAACAGACAGAACAAAAGTGCTCAAACAAATAATATGGATTCCTCAGATCTTAAATTGTTCAATTGACATAAAGAACATATTGTTTTCAAATGACTAAGTAAAAATTAGATCACTCAGGAAATTAATATCAAAACTATTAAGTATAGAAAAATAGGGAACAAACTTAGTTTCTGGTTTTTTCACAGTAACCCATGGTTGATTAGCTTGAAAGTAGCCATTACCAAGACGAGAAATTGTCAATACATTTCGAATAGCGTCTCGGAGATGACATGATTCCATATTACGTATATAGATAGCGAAGAGTTTATTAACTCTAGCCAAGAATTCAGTATCAACAGGTTCTAAGTTTGTTATTGACGGGATGATTGAATCGAAAAATCGTGATACAAAAGAAAGAGATCTATCGAGATAAGAATTAAGAGGAAAAAATGTTAAACGTAATGATCAGTAATAAATGATAGGACATATTGATTTCATTTCAATGTAATTTTTATTCACCAAGTGAAAATTTATACCGATTAAACTATAGGAAAAATCAATACTTTGACCACTTACAGTGTTCTCTGGTTATCTGCAATACAGTACATTGATATTGACATTTTAGTAAGGATTAGCAATTTCCCACGATTGATATGTATAACGGCAACTGCTTACACATTGTTCTCATGAACATAAAGAGTGAATCGCCTCTATACAGTATTTGTATTTCAAGACTTAGTATATTTGTTACGTGGCTAGCGGTAGAATCCAGCTAACGAATCACCATTAGAACGAAATGCACTATGTGTATCCAACTTTTAAGTATAATCCAAATTAAATAAATTAGCTTGTAGAGATTAGAATTTTCTCACTGTTGGTATTAGAGACTGCAATCGACCAATCTATTTTGACGCATAGACATTCCTGAGAACGTCCCGGATTTCATTGCTAGCTACCATCTATCTTTACTTAAACAGATTTCTTTTTTAAAAATTTTACTAGCACAAAGTAACTATGAGTTATTTGTGGTTCTCAATATCAAAAACGAGAAATCGAAGGACACTTATTAATGCTTTCGTAATTGTTGAACTAGTTAGTTACTATTTCAACTGAATAGCTCAGTGCATGGCGACGTTAAGCGTTTGAGGTGAAAAGTTTCGGTATCAGCATCACCACTGTGATGCAGAAGAATCCAGCTGACGAGCTTAAAATATACTAAAACATGAGTCTTGAATTTAACTGTCAGTCACATATCAAATAATACTAAACTAGATCGATTTGGAACAGCAACAGATAAATTTATAACATGCCAACTCTACACAACAGTACTCTCTGTTAAAATGTTTAAGGTGTCATAATTCAAATAGGTAAATAATAGATAGTGATAGATGTCTAATTATAAGCTAATAAGAAACCGATTACAATCTAATAAACAGTCTGTAATACTAGGTAGTTTTCACATATTCTAAAATGAAAATAAATAAGCTATTTCCGTTATCCAGTGTTAAGACAGATACATGTCGATAATATGGGTGTGGTGCGAGCTACTTATAAGTAGTATATGACTTGAGTGTCAGCGCAATGTCTGGCAGCAGAAGATGGGGGAAGATCAAGAAAGGAAGAGTTAGAACACAATGGAATTTTTATGAAACGCATGAATAGTGACAATGGATTGATGTTTTGCAACAGGAACAGTCCAGTTCGATATGATGGACTGATACTTTGCAAATTAACGATTTACGATATGGTTTTCCAATTTTACTGAGTAACTCTGTAATTTTCGTTAACTACAATTCGGTTGCCCCACCTGTATTCTCCTTCACTACATGGGTAGTACACCTGGTCGAAATACTTTCAAGTCAGATGTTATTTATGAATGTTCACTAACGAAGTTCCCAAAACTTTGAACCCTGATTTCATATGTGTGTGTAGGTTATTGTTGATTCTCAGCTCCATGAAGTAGATGGAGTGTGTAACCTGATTGTCATATAAAGTTGTCAATAATAAATTACACATAACTCGAAGACTTCAATCCAGAATGTAAGATCCATTTCGGAAGGCTTGTTTGTGAAAATCCCTCCATGTATACATTTGTAATATATCCTTATTGATTCCTTCAGTTATACATTTTGTTAATCTGTTCAATTCCATTTTGAGATGGATGATAATATTTGTATTTTATCATAGTTTCTATTTTTAGTGCCTTTACTGAGTTTTTTTGTTTCTTTCTGAACTGCATTAACTTGATACTTAGTTATGGCGACAGCCATATTGATTTGTTCCTCAGTTGATTACAGCGGCTACACTGACTGGAAGTGTGCATTTGGATTGTGAATTGGAGCACTCTTCCAGAATTGAAAACACTCTGTGTTATCATTGAAGGAATAACCAAGTGGTAATATTTGTTTAGGTAATAATGTATATTTATATTTATGAATAATAATAATAATAGAACCGTTAGTTACTCAAAAATCTTGTTTTCGATTTCAACTGGGCAAGACGCGTGTATAAACTTTCTCAGTCCATACCTCAGTTTGGATCCTACACAGAAGTTCCCAATTCATGATAAAATTTCAGAAAATAAAGTTATCAACTGAGAATAAAAAAACTTACCGATTAACAAAATTGCCTAAATTATTCAACAGCTCTGAATTATTCACCAACATAAAATCATCCCAAATAAAAGCACTATCCTGTTAAAAGATAATTTTACAAAATGTTAACCAAGGACAAAAATATACGCATAATTGTTAGTATATTCATCCAATATCCTAAGAGAATTATTGGTCAATTCCTATTGGTTAATTCCTACTGGTCAATTTTATGGTCGTCCTAGATATCAATGTCACATACTCCAACGTTGTTTCTTATTGGTTGTCCTGACTATCAATGTCACGTCCTATTGGTCGTCTTAACTGTCAATGTCACAGACATCGATGCTGTTTCCTATTCGAGCAAAATGTATAAATACACATTATTTGTAACGTTTAATGACCACGACCAGGACCAGGGCTCGGTCCCGGATCCCCAGTCCGGGGTCCTGATTCTCTCCTGGATTCGGACCTCGTACTTTCTGGATGCTTGTAGAATACAGGTTCTACTTCATATCAAGTCGTCTTCTTTTACTAAATATGGGGGGTTGGGATAATCGGATTTGAGTAGTATGTCGTACCGCCGGATCCTCTATCCTCGCTCTCGTTTTCCGACTACGCAAACTCATAATAGTTCAAGTATATCAAGTTTACGTGCAGGCGTAACAATAATAATATTGAAAAAACTTTAGAGTATTAAATTCATAAAATGCACTATCTATAACAGTTTGTTTTTTTAAATATACACATATAGGAGAGAATTGTTGTCCGGAGAAAATATAAATATACACATAAACCGCCTATAGAGTAAGTAAACTTGTATACATTCATTAAATTCACAATAAGTAAGCTCATTACCAATGTATTTAAGTTCAACTAAACGTACTAAAGTTGACAAACAGTACAACTGCACAGCTGAATAAAACTTTCTGAATATTGATTAATTCAAAACAAAAAATAATTTCACCATAATGCAACTATAGTTAAACAGACTAAAGTGTAATGTACATGTACTTTGTTTTACTATCTAGCCAGTCAGCAAAATATATATTCCTTAAAGAAGCTAAACACACACTACGAAAAGCACCGAACTGCGTCACGAGACAAGCCCTCACATGGAACCCTCAAGGCAAAAGGAAAAGAGGAAGGCCAAGGAACACACTACGCCGAGAAATAGAGAAAGATATGAGAAGAATGAACAAACATTGGACAGAACTGGAGAGGGAAGCCCAGGACAGAGTTGGTTGGAGAAAACTGGTGGGCGGCCTATGCTCCATTGGGGGTAACAGGCGTAAGTAAGTAAGTTAAAGAAGCTAGATTAGAAGTTTTTGGAAAATGAATTCACATTAACAGTAAAATAATTAATATTTCACAACTTTGTGATATTTGTAATGATAATGGGAATGTTTTCAATATTCTAGTAGCTATCAGTTATTAATCAAGTGCGATATCAAATCAAATTCTATGAAAAGATTGATTTTCTTATCTGTCTAAATTATTATAGTAAATTGTGACGATTTAACAAACAGCTTCAGTGTTTTATCAATGATTGTCATAACGACTGTGATATGCTCGACATGTTGTTGTTCCTCAAAAAAAAATCTAACTGTCTTTATACTAAATCGATAATGAATACTTCAAATATTCACAGTGAATCAACTTCTACTATGATAAAATGATCATTTCAAAAAAGAAAGTCAAAAACGCATTTATATCTTCAGGCAGAGAGCTTTGGAGGTTTGTGTTTTTACACATTTGAAATCATCAATCAATCATTGTTAGACCACCATTAGAAACCTGGAAACACTGGATGGCCGTTTCGTCCTGGTATGGCACTGACTCATCAGCAGTGCGCATCCACGACTCCTGCACCTCGCAGAATTCAAACCCAGGACCTCCGGTATTGTGGTCCGATGGTTAGGCGTCCACGCGCAAGATCGAAGGTCCCGGGTTCGAATCCTGTGAGATGCATGAGTTGTGGATGCGCACTGCTGATGAGTCAGTGCCATACCAGGACGAAACGGCCGTCCAGTGCTTCTTCCAGGTTTCTAATGGTGGTCTAACAATGATTGATTGATGATTTCATTTATATCTATTTAAAGTTTTAAGCAAAAACGTTTGAATTTTCGGTAAATTAGACAGTTCGAAGAACATAACTTGAATCTATAGACGCACGTTCATACTATAAACGTAAGTAGCGAAACAAACAAAATACTCAACAATACTCTCTAGAATAATAGAAAAATGTTATAATCTAAACTACAGAACTACTATATCAGTTAGTAAAGTTCAAATTACTTTTTTTATCAGGCATTAGCAGTAACTGAAGTAAACCGCAACAACATCGAGGAGCTTACTTACTTACTTACTCATGTCTATTACCTCTCTTGAAGAATAAGCGGTCTATCAAGATACTCCACTGAGACCTTCTAGGGTTGCGCAAGGGTGTTAGCAACCCTATCCCTTCGAAAAAAAACTTCTTAAAAAAACTCTAAATAGATACATCAAGAAGCATTGAGTAACTATTCCAATCAGTTTATATTCTTTGAACCTTTGTTTAAGTGTACAACTTTTCAATTTTCATATTCTTGGTCTCCATCTCGACCATAGACAGCCGTTATGAATTTCGATATAGCTAATAGCTTTTACTAAGATATATTATAGAAGCGTTCTTCTCTCTACTAAGTATATCAAAGCATACAAACTCTACATACACTTCAAAAATTTACAACCATACTATTGATAAATTCTTTTGTTTTGAACCGTGGAATCTCCTTCGTCATCTAGTTGTTTGGCTAAAACGCTTCAATATATTTTGTAATTAACCTTTAATAAAAGCTACTCTTACACTGATTAACATTCATAAAATTTACTAATTTAACACATATAAATACATAAAATATAACTAACTTGTGATTCAGGTCTCCGATATAATAAATAAAATCGCCAAACATCTGATACAACACCGGATTTGATTGCATCATCACCAAATACACCGATTCCACGACTTTTGGAAAATTTCGTATTTTCATAATTCATATACTCTGAATGGAAAATATTTAGATGTAGGGAAAAAAACAAAACCGAGAAAATAGTAACGCATTAAAATTATGCTGAATAAATTTATGCATGCAGTAAAAAACTCTACCCCAAAATATCGTAACAGTGCTCACTAGTGACTAGATTCGTGAGGAAATTCTCGGAGTTCTAGTTGAGAAGACGTGACCAATGGAGTTCAACCCTGTCGGGTGTAGGCAGAAACTACCAAAGACAAATGGGTGAGGTCGCGCAAGATCCGTAGATCAATCACAGTTAGACAATAACACCATCTGGATACCGGCCCAGTGGTCCTATGGTTAGGCGTTCGCGCACAATACCGAAGGTCCCGGGTTCGGATCCTGCGAGATGCAGGAGTCGTGGATGCGCACTGCCACTGATGAGTCCCATACCAGGACAAAACGGTCGTCCAGTGCTTCCAGGTTTCTAATGGTCTATCAATGATTGGTTGATGATTTCGAATGTGTAAAAGCTTCACATTGTCAAGGAGTAGGAGTGTTTGCATTTAGTTTCAAATCTCACTTTATATGTAACAGCTAGAAGAAAAACAATCGAGCTCCCTTTGTAAAAAAATAAGGGAAGGATAACGTTTAAACATGTAATCTAGCAGTTGGAAATTGAACCTTTTGACCATTAAGCCTACTGCTACACTATTTAGTGCATGAAATATATTCGCACATAAAATTACACTGACAATGTGATTCACAAATTATATATATTTATAATGCTTGTCTATGCTAAACAACACCAAGTTTAAAAATATAGACAGACAGACAGATAAAACGCAGAACTTCGTACATAAGTACATCAGTTCAAGATGCCATAACACATCAGCACAGAGACGCAACTGTCACTTGAAATCGAAGAGTGGTAGCGATAGTAGAAGTATTAGCAGTAATGAAGAAGATTAGGGAGCGAAGATATGATTCGAAAAGTATAATTCAGTGAGATAAATCCAGAAGGAAAAAGATAGAGGTCATGAGGAATTCAGAAGGATAGAATTAGAGAGAACATAACGAGTGGATGCACCTGCGCCACTGCAAACGATTTTGACCTATGTCGTTCAAAGTCTCTAACCATCGGTGGCTTTCGACTCGCGGACCCCAAACACGTAGCCTACATATACCAAAATGACTCAGTCCACTTGTCAGTGACTTCATGGATTTCTGACATGTTTTGGTCTGGCCACCCCTAACTTTCTTCCAACCTACTACCCCATACACCACAAAACATAGCTCGTCGAGGCATTCGGTGGTTAGGCATACGTAACACATGTCCTAACCACCTCAACTGATCAAGTTTCATTACTTCATCTATTGATTTGCCATACCTACCTAGAACTCGTTTTTTAACGACAGCATTGCTTACTCGGTTGTCCCAGGATATACGAGCAATGGTTCGGAGACACCGGTGAGTGAAGACTAGTAACCTACTAAAGTCTTCTAATCTTAACGGTCATGTTTCACAGCCATATAGTAGGACGGAGCGAACTGCACGGTACACTCGTCCTTTAGTCAGCAAACGGATATCTCGCCTATGCCATAGGTGACACAGGTTGGCAAAAGCCGATCGAGACTTCTGTATCCGTGCTGAGATTTCGTTAGTCACCAGGCCATCGGCACTGATGAGACTCCCGGGATAAATGAAGCGGTCTACACGTTCGACAACTTCACTCCTTATCAGTAGTTCTGGTACCGATGCAACCCAGTCTTGAAGCAACATTTTGCATTTTGACGGGGAGAACTGCATCTCGAACATGCTTGCATTGTTGCTTAGGGTGGTCAGCGTCTTCGCCAAATAGAACTATGTCATCGGCATATTCTAGGTCAACAAACGATTTTCCTGAAAATTCACACGAGGATAAGGTTATTTCTAGGAACATGTCTACGATAAAATTAAACAAGAATGGAGAGAGTGGACATCCCTGATGGTAGTTATAAAGTTCTGGAGAAATTTAATTGAGTTTTTTAATAGATAATCAAAGTAATACTTTCGATCCTTAGATATTAGAATTTACATTACCTTAAGTGATATGAAAGTTTGAAACCTATCACTACTTGGACAGATACAGTCACATTATCGAATCATTAAAGTGCTCAGTTTTAATATTTTATTACAAATAATTTATGTCTCAATTTTAAATATTCTTTATGAACCATTGATGTGGCACTGAAAGTGTGACGTGACTATCTAATCATCAAATCTAACTTTGATTCAATTTTGTGTTGAAGCTTTGTGTCAATAAACCGTTGCCTGATCTTATCATGAATCGATCAATGTTAGACCACAATTAGAAACCTGGAAGCACTGGATGGCAGTTTCGCCTTGATATGGGACTCATCAGCAGTGCACATCAATGACTCCTGAACCGCCTAGGATTCGAAACCAGGACCTTCGGTCTTGCGCGCGAACGCCTAACCTCTGGACCACTGAGCCGGTATCTAACGATGTTAATGTATAACTTCGATCAATTCACGGAGTTGCACGACCTCACCCATTTGTCTTTGGTAGTTACTGTCTACACCCGAACAGGCTGAACTTCACTGATCACGACTTCCCACCAACGGTGGTCTAACGTTGATCAATTCATGATTTCAAATGTGTAACTTAAGAAACTTCACAACCCTGTAAGGCATTAATCTTGTTAAGATAAATACTAGAATATATCATTCAGAGAAAGAAAATAATCCCTAGACATTACTATCATATCACGAATACCCCTCAGTCAATATCACTGTAAAATCAATTTCAAATTATGACAATTCTGAAACGACATCAGTTGTATATTTAAAAAGGCACTACATTATTGAGACTAATCAGAAGCAAATAAATATTAACCAAAAGCAGTTTTATGTATATTTAACTGATTGAATAAGAATAATAGTGTATTTTACCTGTTGATAATAAATGTTTTACAAGAGTATAACCAGCATCAGCTGCTAACAAACATGCAGGAAATATAATAGCATGAAATGGAACATTATCTTTTGCCATAAATTGAAATAATTCAATTTCATTATCATCAGATGGTTGCCACCATTGTTTCCAGTGTTTTGTATAGTTTGCAGTGATTGACATATAACCAATAGGTGCATCAAACCAAACATAAAACACCTTGAAAATATAATAGTAAATTCATTAGTCGAGAGAAAGAGATGTAATTTAAGATAAAGTGAAACGTTCATAAAATACATTTGAGAATACTTAGACTAAGATAAATGAAAATGCTTGAAAATGAAGAACATTTTTCTTAATTTAACAGAACGAGTAGTAAATTTTTATCAATTAAGGTGGTTGGGACATGTGTTACGTATGCCCAACAACCGACTACCTCGATGAGCAGTTTTGTGGTGTAGAAGTAGCCCGGAAAAAAAGTTAGGGGCGGCCAAACCAAAACGTGGCACAAATCCATGAAGTCACTGACTAAATGACTGACAACTGGACTGACCCTGTCTAGTAGGTGTAGCCTACCCGGTTGGGGCGCGCGAGAGTAATCGATGGTTAGAGACTCTGGATGACATGACTCAAAATTGTTTGCAATGGCGTAGGTGCATCCATGAGCTCATGAGCTCAAAACCTTTCCTTGTCTCTTTTTCAACTTATTTCACTGGATCATACTTCTTAAATAATTTCTTCGAAACCTATTCGCTTATCACCGCTAATACTTCTACCACTTCTACTTCTATGAGATTTGAATTGACAATTCTATCACTCTGTGCTATAATGGGATATGACAACTTGAACTGATGTACGAAGGTACGAAATTCTACGTTGCATCTCACTAACTAACTAAATTTAACATAACATATTATCATTAAAATGTAATGTTAACGATCTGTTAAAACGATATATTAAACTTTTCTAGATAGTTGTTAGTTAGTCAGTGATGATAGGCAAGAATTTTTCCAAGCAGTAAACCTAAATTGATTTGAAAACTTTTTGAGTTATTAATTAAACGCTCTATGATATAATTTGTCTTTTGTTAGCCATTACTACACAGTCAGTAACTTATCTATCAAGATTGATATATTCGGCCGTGAGGTATAATTTTCCATGCAAGAAGAATTAATATTATACGTCCCCACAAATTAAACTACAATAAAGTTTAGACTTTCAACTTAACAGTTAAAAGTCGACTGATTTAATCACCTAGTCACTTACTCCATTTCCTATTTCTTAATAGAAGAAAGTATGTGAAATAGTTGTTAAGCTCTGACATAATCATTAAAAGATGAATGCTCAAAAGGTTACATTGATTAATGAGTAAATTATTCAATAATTACTATTTGTTTATTTATTATTATCATCAGAAGTTATAAGTTTTAAAACAAAAAGAAAAACAATATCACATGTTATGAATTCTTATGAAATTTTTTTATAACCAACTAATAATAGATTATGATGACAATCATGACGATGATACCGTGAATTCACATTATTTTAACTGCTTGCAATATCCTCAAATTACTACTGCAGGGTATGCGTCAACCATCACCTATTGAATGTAAACTCTTACAGTTTCAGACCATAATCTCTCGTTAGCATATAATACTAAGCTTTTAAAATCTTTTCGCTTTAACTAGTTAACCGGAATTAGAAGATTAAACAAAGAATGAGATAGTTACATGCCAAAAACAAAACGAAAAACATTGATAATCAAAATAGTATTTATTACGTGATCACCAAAAATAGTAATAGTATGTCAGTGTATATGCAAACCATGCATTACCTTATCTTTATATGCTTCTAATGGAACTGGAACACCCCAATGCAAATCACGTGTAATACATCTTGGCTTTAAACCATCTCTTAACCATGAACTTGATATAGTACAAGCATTCGATGTCCATACACAAGAAGAATCGTTAATACGTTGTTCAACGAATGTATTCAACTGGTTTTCAATCTAAAATAGTAAATAACCAATTGATCAATGTTAACTCAGCAAGTAGAGAAATAGAGCGCTAACTAAACTATCCTCTCATTCACTACACATTAGCAAGGTGGAATCTAATACATATGTGCGTTAGTTCAACGAGATAAGATTATCAATAACTATACAAGAGTAGTTGAAATAATAACAGTATTACTGCTAGTAGCAGTAGGAAAGATCAAACAGAAAAAGTTTGATCTGACAAGAATATGTCTTAAAAATAAAAACAGTACAAGTTAATCTCAAAACTGAAATTTTAAAGAAAAGCAAAGAGTAAATGCATTTGCGCCAATGGGAACAATTCTGACCCGTGTAACTTAAAGTCAACAATCATTGGTTGTGCTAATCTCATAAACCCCAGCCAAGTGATCGTTAAACGAAACTAACCACCGAATTAGGTAGAATATAGTTCGAACCTGAGTCCTGTTTATTAAATAATCGAGTGCTTTCAATACTACTAGACAATCCCATACAAAACATTCGGATATATAACATACACAATAATAAATTACTAAGTAAGAAGGAACGGTCATTAGTGAGGAGTGTTCGCTATCCCTCTCCAAATGATTTCATATGACCACGCATAAAAAGCCACTGGCAAGAAAATAATACTTCTCGAGGAGGGGTTATAATTTGTGAAACTGAGAAAACAGGAAGCAAATGTCTGACGCCTTAACAGGATCGATGGATACAGAGCATCCACCGAAGGGAGTCGGGAAACCCTGGTTCCAAACTAATGGTTTATATGGGCTCCAGCATCGTGAGAAGAAGTATGTCGTATAAACATAATGTTGAGCACCGGCTACCATGTGGTTGCATCTATTGTCTTGTGCATTGGACATGTAGATCAAAGGTTCGGGGAATGGTGTGCTACAAAAACGACCTGCTTTGGTTAGGACAATTGGAAAGTATCCAAGCCCACTCATAAATTTAATTATTTTTGCGGAGCATAAATACTTGGGGGCCCCTTTGAACCAATTGTTTATTAAAATAATAAGATTAATACAAAACATATTATTGTTACTATCTGGTCAGAAATAACGTTACCTTTGGAAGATTAAGAAACAAATGGCGTGAAGAACGAATCACAGGCTTTTGAGAACATATCTTACAACGTGGTTCAATTAATTCAACAGCATTCATAAGACGCCCACATTTATCACATTGATCGCCTCGTGCGTCATCGTATTTACACAAAGGACAAACTCCTTCAACAAAGCGATCTGCAAGAAATCTTCAGAATAAAATTATGTCAACAATTTATTGTATGGTGGATTAATTTAAACACTGAGCGAAACATAAATATTTGTAGTTGATTATTTCGACCAACAAAACTTTGGTTGATAGACTTATTGTTGTCACTGTTGAGTGAGTGAAAATATGGATTGACTGATTTACTTGTATGCAATTGTATCGATAATCTAACAAGTAAAGTATGATCTTCAACTGTTATCCAGGTTAAAATTCAGCTTTAACTATTTAATGTTTTACGTTATCTATCAGTAATTGATAGCACACTAGCTACTAAGTTCCAGTGCAATGTACATATAGCTTAATGGATACGAAGTAATCGCTAAGTTGAACAAGTTCAAAACCCATTTCATCGATTTGCTGTGATAACTGGAATGATGCACTTAAAATTGGAAAGCCTAGCTTCTAGGAATATTTATACAGGAATATATTTAAATAATATATTAATTATACAGCAAACATTAATCAGTGATTAAAATTCATACACTTAAGGTGATGAACTCAACAACAACAACAACAAAAGCCGACTGTACGCACAGACAAAGACAAAAATGACCAGTTTAATATGGTTAAACAGATGAAAAACGTATGAGTCTATGATAAAAGTTAAACTAACAATGAAACAGAGAAATGCAATAAATAAATTATACGACACACCAACTACTCATGAGTAATACATTTACAACACACAAATCTCACATCGATATCTCGCCTGCACACTGGGGCTCCAGTACAAAAAAACATTTGCTGAATTACTAAGTAATCAGATTAAAGAGAGTTGACTTCAACAAGGTGAGTGAATGGTTCATAATTAAAGTTAGACTACTACTTGGAATATTCTCCTTTAGTGGAGTGATCATAACTTAAATATAAACACACTTATCTATCCACTAGATTAGGAATTTATGCCAGTGTCATTAACAGAGATTTTGAAGATAAATGGAAGATTAAAGATCCATACTTTGACTTAGTACGAAATAATGAAGTACATTTTTGACTGGTCCTCATATTTGACGAAACGGTGACATTAAACCTGTCTCACGAAGCACACAAAGAGTGGATTTTTTCCTCACTTGCATTTATTGCTGTCAACAGTGAAAGACCAATGTTCAACTAAATAGATTCTGATGAATCGCTACTTCAAAGAGCTTACACAATACGCTTGAAAAAGGTCATTATGATTCAACTAAAAAAAATTCAGTTTAAGCTTAAGGATGACAATAAGGTAACCTTTCATCGAGTAGAATAAACGAGAATAATTTACCACAAACACTCAGAACTATTAATTTCCAGAAGAAAAGAACAGAACAAATACAGCTAGATAAAACTGTATACAGTTACACCAACCAACCACCGAGTATCAATCAGTGTGACTAGGTTTGGCTTTTAAAGCTGAATCGATTCTGTTTATTAGTCAGTAACACTGATACTAATTTAATTGACGTAATAGTATGGTGCATTTTGTTTCTATGTCAAGCTCATAGTATGAGGACAACTTGAGTTTTCAAATCAAAATAACCAGTTAGTTTATAAATATGACCTCATGGCTGAGCTTTTGAAATTTGCACATTATCTAGTGTATAGGATAAAACACAAATCGTATTCTTTAAACAACTACTTCTTCCAATTATGATATAACATAGAAACTGAAAACAAAAATCTCACTTGGCGCATTTTTCGCAGTACAACTGTTCAACAGAATCTTCAGTGATAAAACCTCTATCCCACAGGCGTTTAAACATCTCTTGAACTATTCTGGAAAAATTAAGTATACAAGTGTTAGCGACAGCTATTTTACAAGGAAATTAAGATCATAAGAAGAGACTTAACTTTAAATTCAATAAACCGACCAGTATTTGATCGATAATAAGTCAAAAAAAAAATTAAGAAAAAGCATTGTAGAATTAGTATTAGTAGTTATATCGATGTAATTACAGTACCGAACAATAGACTAGTTTACTAGGAACCGAGTTTTCAGACTACACATTTAAGTAATACTCAATATTTTCTATTCTTTGAGTTGAAAAGAACTGGAGTGCAGTTATGAGTGGTTATATATTTTGTCATTATTTAACAGGATCTAGAATGGATTGTTTTGAAGTGATTAGTCTGTGGTGGCTCCGTCTAAGAACATGATAATTTCATTCAGCCTAATCTACTTAATCGTACATGAAATTCGACTAGCTTGGTGACTGGACACTTGAGTGTCTAGCTTTCTGTAAGAACTTATTACCTCTACTTTCAGTCAGTCAGTCAGTTACAATGTAGAACTTCGTACTTACGTACAACAGTTCAAGTTGCCATATCACAGAAGCACAAAGACACAATTGAACTGTCCACTTTATTTGGATTGCGCTGTATACAAACAGCCACAAGATACACACAGAGTATCAGCGTATCCAAGTATTTTTAAGTTGTTACGCTTCAATTTAATTTGGAATAGTAAAAGTGGATGTTAATTGATATTTAAAGCTGAAGTACATTTTTTGTGTATACGCTGGAAAAATTCAAAGTAGAACCGGTAACAGTAAGAAATCAAGGAGATAGTAGGGAGAGATTGAAGTAAAACAGGATGAACAAAAATGATGCAGTATTATGAAAACTGATTCATACGAATTTTACACTTAAACTACCATAACAAAGAGAGTAAATTAGCGTCTCATACTTCAGAGTTTAAATACTATTCATATAGCAGATACCAAAGAAAATTGGTCATCCATCATAATTAACAATTTTATTTCATCGATACTATTCTTACGAAAGTAGAAGTTAATATACTTAAATAGCCAAAGTTATTCGTCCTAACATGTCACACAAATTTAATTACAATCTGGATCAGCCTAGATATAAATAACTACATTTTAAAAAAACCACTAGGGCAACGTACTCGGTATGCTTATCTGTAGTAGTTCGTCCAAAATAATCGAATTCAATTTGAAACCATTTATATATATCACAATGCAACTTATGAAACTTATCACAAATCTGACGTGGAGTCATATTCTCTGAGACTGCTTTTGCTTCAGTAGCAGTTCCATATTCATCAGTGCCACAAATAGACAGAACATTATATCCAGCCAAATCACAGTACAAAGCGAACACACTTGCACTCAAAGTCGATCCAATCATGTTGCCTAAATGAGGTACATTGTTTACATAAGGTAGTGCTGATGTAATCAAAACATTTCTAATTCCAGTATGTTTAGGTTGTGGTTTTCTGAAATAAAAGGACAAATCACAAGATTATGACTACTACATGAATTAAACATAATAATACGCTCGCTCTACCCATTTATCACAACATACAACAATAAAAAAGGAGAAAATAGCTAAAAGGAAAGCTTAAGTAAGGATGGTAAACCCAGTAATATATGTAATTAATTTATGCTGAAACGGGTACAATAATTTGAATTACTGTGGTGTTTGAATGAACTAGTGACTTCTTGGTTGTGGAATGCCTGATTTCGAATTCTAAATACAGTACATTCTTTCGTGCTTATCTAGTAGTTCTTGATCCACTTACGTTATTTCTGGGATTATTAGTTCATGCTATAATTCAAATACTTCTAATTATCATAATTACTATCACAGATTTCAGTTACACTATATGTATTTCATTTAAAACAATAAAAGTTGGCGACTTTTATGAACTTTTTAGTTTGTTGGTCTAAAATAGCTTGTTGGCATCACGACTGAATTACCTTTCTCACCTTAAACTTCACACGTAAACTAAGCATTCGTTACTCCGTCGTTTGACAACACATGAGAGATGTGACAAATAAGTGGTTACACTTTGCAATTTTCTAAACTGTGATAAAAACTACGTTAACAATCAGAAGCATGTAACAAATTAGATCACTTGGATCCTTACATGTAAGACCTCTAGACAAGCTGAACTATACAAGCGCGAACAATATAGGTAGCAAAACTGTAATTGGTGGTGATTTTCCAGTAAAATAACAATAAACTACGATATTTTAAATAGTATTTTTAACGAACTATGCAGGAACTGAACGAAGGCAATGGACATGAAAACCAAGTAATGGGATTCCCTTCACTACTATAAAGCATAATTGACAGGTATTCGTTTCATTGAAATATAATCACATTTTGAGATTTTCATCACATCATCTTTTAAGATTCCCGTTTTCTTAACAATTCTGCTGTTTTTGTTGACGAAAGAGTCATCATAAGTTTTTTATGATATTCATCCTTTTATCGTGAGAGTATGCCTTTCGGGATCAAATGCCGAACTTAAAAGTTTTAAGGGAAATTATTAAGAACCTGGATAAAAACAATGGCTGTTTATTAAATAGTACCACTACAATTAAATCGAAACATTCACGTTGAACTTACTTTGGCGTTTCATGCACTGGTTTGGTAAATTCATTATAAGCCAGAAAAACGTCACCAGCTCTTTTCTGATCTTCATCTGTAATATATATAGATGAGGGCTCAGTTATTTCTTCTGTCAAATTAAGCATTTTCCAACACCAAGAGCTTATAAATAACTCGAATTATATAAATCCAATGGTTAGTTAAAGTAGAATCCTACAGAAGAATTCAAATAGTAATTGAAGTCAGTTTAGATTATATGCTGAAACCCAGTGACTCAGAAGTAAATATTAAAGTTAGGTCACTTGGGATTTTGAAATCGTTGATCCTACAGATGAAGATTTGTATAGTTTGATATGTACGTTGTCTTAGACGCGAAGCCATTCATACAACTTTATGTGTTTAGGTTTTGGAGTGAACCAGGTTATTGATTATTATGGTCAGCCATTGTACCTAATACTGATTCACATAGACTGTGGTACGTAATCAAAGAAACACGAAACTTGTGGAGATGGTATGACAAACTAAATTAGGGTGGATTTACTCATCGACTAACCGAAATGCAGAGGTCACAACAAAAAAACAACAGACAATAACCTTATGGACTCTCGTCACATCCTGATTTTGAACAAACTGGCAAAAACCAAATGAACTTTCCGTATCCATTTCGACAAGGTTAATATATACAAACCGTCTAACTTATTTCCATATCTTTCCGAAGTAATGAGTCAATTTTACCGATTTTTTGAACACATAGCACTAGATAATTTAGATAAAGCACTATAAGTTGCAACTATAACCCCAAATATGATGAGTTACAATGTCCCGACACCAACCTCTCTCAAAAACTCCTCACGTGTCGTAACGTTCAAAAACTCGCCAAGGTAGTGTGTTGAAAAACAATGAAACAGATCAATGAACGTAACGGATATACACTTTAGACAAGAAGCACATGGATGGAAAACCCCAAATCACTCATCTCTGTATTATTTTGAACTACGAATTTCGTCTATGCAAAGTTTTTGATGTCGAGAGTATGATTCAAAAAATTCAGGATGTTTAGGACAGAATGGAAGATACTTTCACTAAACAGGCTTTCATATCTACCAACAATTGATAATCGAAACGTCCAGATTGAAACACTGGTATATTTAGTTAAAGAAAGTGAAATATTAGTACATTATTGTGAAATAATCTCTTCTGTTCATGAGAATATGAAAGGTTATCTCTTGTCAGACACTTATAAAGTCCATATAGAGACCATATAAGACTCGCCTTTGGATACCTTCCAGTATATTCTTATCATTTTGATACTGTTAATGAACCTAAATAAATGTATCAGAGATTCGCTGACACATTCTCCTTCCCAACTGACCGATAATACAAGTCAGTATTACCAGTTCAATGCTTTCTCGAAAGGCATTTTTGCAATAGTGAGTGTGCGGTCAGATCATAAAACTCCTAGCTCTTTTTAAACTTGAGACGCCTCTAAGGGGGATTCATCTGATTGGTTCTATAGCTTTCTGCATGTTTTAGTTTGACTATTTTGCACCTTGGAGTTTTAAAAGTCAGCTGCGGTTATTCATCCAACTTTGAAGACCGTTCAGATCCTTCTGAAGTTCGAGCTTAACATCTTGGATGCAGTTTTCGTTAAGAAGTTTAATATCGTCAGCAGAAAGCAATAACTCAGACGTTGCATGTTATGGAAAGTAACCTAGATATGATATTAAGTGAAGCGGTCTTACTACTGTATTCCAAAAGACCCCATTGAGACATTCTGTAACCTGAGAAAAATTAAAGTTTACAACGACCTTGAAAATTCGAAGTTAGTCGGTCAAATTAGGATGACTCAGTACCTAAAAGTTTGAACAACTGACATTCTAAATGCTTCAGAGATGTTAAGGGATATCACATCAACCTTCCATGTGCAATAGAGGAATGTTGTCCAACTGTTTACCGAAGTCAGAAGGTTGGTTATACAGAATTTCGGCATCCCCAAACCGTGCTGCTTGAGAGAATGGCAGTTTTCAACAGCGAAAATCATTCAAACAGCTAAATATCAAGGGCCCCATAGCTTTTTGAGGTATAGCGAATCGAATAATATAATACTTCTTCGTGGGATAACAAATGTTAATCCCGTTACTCTATGAATCAGATAAAAGACGATTCTAGAGGACGAAGTAGACTGAATGCTAGCTTCGCGTTATCGAAATTATATCGGGGCCAGATGGCATACAAACGCCTAACGTCCACGCAGGAGACGCGCGAAAGAACAGAATTGGAATTACACACTTGGCGCGCGAGAGATAGTCTTTAGTACAGATAAACAAGGGGTGTAAAATATCACAAATATTGTCAGAATTAAGTACAATAATAAATGCTTATATTTCAGCAATTGTGTTTTCTTTTTAAAAGTATACCACTATAAAGGTACCAAAACAAGTGCTACCGGTTGGTAGCTTGAAAGTCCAAAGTGAACAAACTAATGTATTAGCTTGATCTGAAATTTAGTAACAATATCTATTCCCGAATAACAGTGTGTTACACGAAGCATGCCAGTTTACAGGCAATATCAAAGCCTGTGTTCCTTTAGTGTCTTCGCACAATGGTTCCTTATTAGTCGGAAATGTCTGTATAAACTACCGTCACTAAGTTGCTTATGTTCTGCTCAGCAGCATTTTTAAGTTTTAGCATTCAAAGAATGTGATTACTCTTGAATATATGTCGCTTGTCACTTCTGTGAACCACTTGCAGGACGGCGTTGTTCGTTGTACGTAATATTCTGTCCAGCACAAAATGCTAATGAGCCTCCATTTCGAATTGATGATGGGCTTCCTAGTCCACCTGCTGCTGACTGTTCCATAAATTTAGAATTACAACATCTATTGAATATCAGCTTTGCAAAAACAATTAGACGACATAAAAATGTGATCGTTTTTACTGAGGGAAGCCAGGATTGAAAGTTTATCAACCAGGAAAGCTTCACCTCCGGAAATGAAGTTCAAACATAATCATAACTGGCTCTCTCTCTACCGAATCGCTAACTTTAAATTTCGTAATCCTGAACTAAATTTGAACAGCTTTCCACTGAGTGGGCTGTGGTCGCTTCCGCTGGGAGAGCATTCCAAGAGAAAGTGTGCACTAGCCTGGGTGTTCGCTGTTTGACACGCGGTATTCCGAGGATTACCTCAAGGGGCGTGATGGTGATACTTCGGCAAGATGCTCACATTGGGATGGTTTGGCGTGCTTAATATGTTGCAAGCCATTATCAGATCACGTCTGACTCTCCTGTAACTCAGGGAGAATAATATTAAGAGCTTTAGTTTATCTTAATAAATTCTAATTTTCAGCGATATCACACATTTCGTGGCTTGTCTCTGCACTCGACCCGATAGATTAACGTCTCTGTTGAGGAGAGGAAGTGCGAAAACGTTGAAAACCTCAGGGTGTGGGCGAAAATATGTCTTAAACAACTTTCAGCATAATTCAGGGATGATAGCACCAAGTTTTCTTCGCCCAAAGTGAGAAGTTGCTTCAGCCTTGGTTGCGTCCCCACATAGTTCGAACTAGTGTCCGGGCTTTTAGTAGTAACTGGACCGAGATCACGCTCTGAGGAGACATTAAGGAGTGGACTTCATTTGAGGATATAAGTTGTATGTGTCACGTGGGCAGAATGTTCAGAACGTGACATTTCAGGTAGTTTAGTTTTAAACCTTTTTTTTACTGCTTATCCCTTAACCGATGTAAACGTTTTTGAAGCTCAGTTGAATTCTCTCCGCTTCTAATGAACCTCTAGATCTTAGCATCACCTGCATAGATCAGCTACGCCGAGCTAACTCTGTCTAACATATCTTGAATGAATATCAGGAATAGGAGCGTGACCGTGCCGAAAGAGCAAGAATCGAGCGGAAAGAAATCAGTCAGTTTATACTAGCACGTGAAAAAATTATTCGATATTTAAAGATGGTCTCCTGTGAAACTCTTGATGTTGAACTCGTCAACTCCTGCGAACTCTATTTACCTTGGAGAAAAACACATAAGAACAGGTAAGACAGATAGACGAGAAACTGACGGCAAAGATGTAACGGAAGTTTGCGAGTTCTAGACTTTACAGTCTCGGTGAATATTTATCATTAGCAAGAAATTCCTTCTTGATGTTATGGTTTCCAATGACTTTTTTATATGATGGATATATTTAGCCGACTCTGATATATCTATTGATTGCTATTTTTCCTGGGTGCTCAACCCCTTATATTTAAAATCCAATGTTCCTAAGTATCTAATTGATTCGTTTCGGGTAACGAACCAGTGTTTAACAATATCAAAAGATATCCGTTTCATTTATTTTTAGTAAAGTTGAGAAAATCGCACATCGCAGTAGTAAAATACAAAATTCTCAGTAATACAAATAGACCTCGACTGCTGAACCATCACTTGAGTCCATTACAGGTTTGAACATCGAAAAAAAATTAAATGGAGCGACGTGGAAAACTAGTACTGGGTAGTGCAACTGAAATAAATATAGCTGAACAACTCTCTTTATAACAGGTACAGATACTGCCACACTAACAAACTCGTAATCCCAACTAGGAGTAGTAATTGTTCGAATATTAAAAATATACAATTATTATTCGATAAGAAGTTCGTAACAACCCAGAAACAATCACCGAACCCAAAAAAGACATCAACAGTATCACTTGAATAGCCCCAAAGTGAGCTATTCGTTTCTCAGTACAAAAAACTTCATTAAATATTCGGAAATAAATCCTCGGCCTATCTAGGAGTAGATTCTAGCTGCCATATCAGACAAAATCAGTCAAACACAGGGTCACTAATTATGGTAGCCACCGAAATTCAAAGTGTCAGATGAAAAGCAAATGAAACAGTAGTTAGGAATTCTGATGGCATGCAAGAGGTGACCGCACTTTAGAGACTGTAAACAAAATTGTATTGTGAAATACACAATCTTTAAATGGAAAACAAAATATACGTCAGTACAGAAAATGTTACTGAAACAATGCAAATGGAGAAGAATAAGGGAGTAGTCATGGCGAAAATGTGTGCGGAGAGTTTTGCTCACATATTACCAGAGGAGCACATCAATGAACGCTTGTGTAGAAGTGTTAGCATCAAGAATGGATATAAGTACCAAACTGAATACACTATATGTGAACAGTAATTTCTGTGAAACACAGAAACATCTTGTTTAGTCAGTCGTCAAACACAAGTGTTCCAAGTAATTTCAAAACAGTGTTTTATCCAAACGTTGAGTTTTGAAGATTCAAATCTCTACAAAGTAATCCGTCATACCATGGGCTGATAGTCACGAGGTGCTTTAACTGTGTAGCTTAATGCCCGTCTGCACCAGTAAATGTTCCTAAAATACAGGAAATAATGTTTCTGTCCCCCGCAAGTCGATTAAGTCAGTCAAACAAAGCGGCAGCAATCTAGAATACGGTTACTCAATTTAGAACCCGCCTGAACATAATGTCGTGCAAAACAAAGATAAAACATCAATGGCATCAGGGTAAGCAGGAGTTATAGGATGAGTACCCGTTTGTGTCTAGCCAGAAGGTACCTTGTGTACTTGGGCAGCATGAACAGTAGCGTGAACAGGTAGGTTAGACAAAGGAATAACAATGGAAGATGCAAACTGACGATCCATCAGGCGCACAAAATATACTTACGCTTAATAGGAATAGCAATAAACAACAACTAGCTATCAATAAAGCTTCAGATACAGAGAATACGAATAGCGAAATTAGGAGAAAATAGTGTGAAGAATTTAAAACAATGCAGACACAATATTTTGAAACTACGCCTTCTACTCCAACAACCACCGTCTTATAGCTTCACATCGAAGTCAAGTATTTTTATTTGATAT